TTTCTATTTAGTTTTAGTTTTGTTATTTACATTATATTTAAATTTTGTTATTTAGCCGACGCTTTTATCCAAAGCAACTTACAAATGAGGACAATAGAAGCAATCAAAACCAGCAAAAGAGCAATAATTTACAAGTGCTATATTAGTATATTATTATAGTGTTATATTTCAATTTCACAAAGAAACGTGCAGCATTTTGTCCAAGCAATAATAAAAGGACACATTAAATGTATAATTTGTCTTAAATCTCATTTTGTAAAAAAAATAAAAAATTGTGAATCGAATCGAATCGAATCGTGAAATCAAAACCGTGAATCGAATCGAATCGTGAGTTGAGTGAATCGTTACATCCTTACTCGCGGCACCGGCCTCGCTCTGTTTTGTAGCGGCTCTGCCCTGCTTGCCACAGTGTTATTGTAGTATTCATTAATTCATCAATAATTGTAATATTCGTATTACAGTAATAATTGTATTATTAATAAATAATATTAATGATATTTGTAAGATGCCTGTGTAGGTGCTACATCTGAAGTCTGGAGAATTGTTGTAGTTTGATTGCTACAGTGAGAGCTGTTACGATCTCACTGTGTGGTCATTTTAAATTATTGTTATTATTATTATTTTAATTTAAATGTTTCAAGTGCCCTCAGAGGAATAGTTCACCCAAGAATGAAAATGTAAAATTAAAATAATTTATTCACCCTTATTTTGTTCCAAATACAAAACAAATTCTAAAGAATGTTGACGCTGCCCTTTTCCAAACATTAAAAGAATACAAGTGCTATAAAGAATGCTGCGACCAAAACACTTTTGACAGCAGCATTTAAAAAAGCCCTCATCTGTGCTCTGACTCTGTAGAATCCTATTCTGGACAGACTGGGATGCCAGCATGCCCAGGATAGAGGCTGCGTCCATGAGTGGACATGGCAGGCGCACCATCCATAAGGAGACGGGCAGCGGAGGATGGCCCAACGGACTGACTGTGGACTATCTGGAGCGCCGCATTCTGTGGATCGATGCCAGGTGATGTGTGAAGACTCACCTCATACAAAAGGATGTGTTTTACACATGTCAGTGCCCTGACACTATCCCAATCCCTAACCCAGGGGTGTCCAGTCCTGCTCCTGGAGGACCACTTTGGAGGTTAGCTCCAATACACAGACGTTTCTAGTGATCCTGAAGACCTTGTTTCGCTGGTTTGGCGCTTAAGATAAACTCTGCTGTCAGGTGACCCTCCAGAAGCAGGACTGGACATTCTTGCCCTAACCGTTGACAGTGAAACTTTGTAAACATGGTGGCTAAAATCTACCTGATATCATAGAATCGTTCCATTTTGTGATGGTTTGTTCATGTCCCGTGTCTCAGATCTGATGCGATCTATTCAGCTAAGTACGACGGGTCCGGACTGATCGAGGTGCTCAGAGGACACGAGTATCTCTCGCACCCGTTTGCTGTGACGATGTATGGAGGAGAGGTTTACTGGACAGACTGGCGCACAAACACGCTGGCCAAGGCCAACAAGTGGACAGGAAACAATGTCACTGTGGTTCAGAGAACAAACACTCAACCTTTCGACCTGCAGGTGTACCACCCATCTAGACAACCGCAAGGTAATCTTCAAACTTTATTCCAACGTTACTCTGATATCGATATTACTAATGGCTGTTTCACACGGCAAAGGAAAACAGTGGGATATATCAAAGTACCGTGGTATCTAATACCGTCAATTTACCGTACCACCTTTTCGTAAAAGACTAACTGATTCAAAATGCTTCTAATGGATTCCAAAAGTTGATTCCAGTAGCGTGAGTTTTTCCGATTCTGAAGATTTCATTGGTCATGTCAATCACAGTGCTGATAGTCTACACAAAGCTACAATAATATATAGCGTTGGAAGCACATCCTGATAGATTAGGGTGACCATACGTGCCATTTTCCCAGGACGCGTCCTGGCCAGGATTTCTATATTGCCTAAAATATCTAGGTTTTGGCTTTGTTTGCGTGTGCAGACCGATCGGTGTATGACATCAAAATACCATACAGACGGTTATGCTTTCGAAACGCTCTCGAGGTACTTTGATGTCAAACACTGATCGGTCTGAGCTTTTAAGTCGAACACACCTAATATGTACGCGTAATTGCATCGCTTTGACCGTAGATCCCACCTTCTCACACGCCATGATTGGTCCATTATGTACAATGCTTGCATGTTATTGGTCAAACTACTTTTCGATCATTACCTTCAGCAAGCATGAAAACAGGAAAACAAAGCCAAAACAAATCCTGGCCAGGACGCGTCCTGGGAAAATGGCACGTATGGTCACCCTATGATAGATAGCATTACTGTTTGTTGTGATCAGATCCATCCTTGATTTTTTTCTCTGAGTTGAAAACATGAAGTCTAAACATCTGTTGACAGGTGACTGCATGATTGAGGTGACCAATGAATTTGCGTTTGAGCTCGACTGGTTTGGGAAGTTTGACGTTAGCAGGTTGCTAAGCTAACATCACAATCATCTTAACTACAAAAGACACATTAAATACACATATTGGGTAAAATTGTGAATTATTAGTGTAATTTCTCTCAACTTCTTGAGATCTTAGCAAATTGAGCTCATCACAATGCATACATGTGACGCTGTAGTTTCTAGTGATTCATTTGATCCATTCTGAAAGATCGCTGCTCAGATTGAGGGAGCAGCCAGTCTGCTTGATGGACACACGTGTTGATGGTGTTTGGCACTTAATAAAGCAGCGTGTGAACAAACTTGTCATGATAGTTTAGCTCACTGACTTCATCTTATAGAGGCAGACTTCTGACAGGAGCAGACACGGGATGAATTGGTTTGGACATGCTTTGTTTGTTGTGAACTCATAACCTTTGGATTTCTCATTCTTACTTTTTCATCATACTTCCTGTCCTTATCGAACAGCGTAGATATAGATCATCAATCATTCATCTAAGAGCAAATGCCCATAATATCAAAATAGCCAAACGTTGGCCAATTAATCTGCATTGCTGTCTCAGCTGGTTCGGTTTCTTGGTGGCGGCAATATATTTGAATGTGGTGATGAGTCAATAAAGCTTCAGTGCCTCTCATCTCTCTCTGTTTCTCCAGCGCCAAACCCGTGTGCTGCTAACGGTGGTTTGGGTCCATGTTCTCACCTGTGCTTGATCAACTATAATCAGACGTTCTCCTGTGCCTGCCCGCACCTCATGAGACTGAGTGAGGACAACCACACCTGCTACGGTAATCATCTCCAGATTGATTCACAACCTGACAGAATCTGTGCTGTATGCAGTTTTACATCTGCAGACATGTGTTTTTTTGTTTTTTTGATGGGCTTCTTGATATAGTCCTACATGAATGAAAACTAGCAGTGATAATGTCAATTAAAACTAAAACTAATAAAAATTGTTTTTGTTCATTGAAATAATCAATCAACGTAAACTCAGCACACCTGAAACGACGATAGGTGCATGGGAACAAAATCAAACAAAAAGTTGAATCAAAAATAAGTAACGAACCCGTACACTATCAACACTTGCTAATTCTTAAACTTTATTTGGTGGCGGCAATATATTTGAATGTGGTGATGAGTCAATAAAGCTTCAGTGCCTCTCATCTCTCTCTGTTTCTCCAGCGCCAAACCCGTGTGCTGCTAACGGTGGTTTGGGTCCATGTTCTCACCTGTGCTTGATCAACTATAATCAGACGTTCTCCTGTGCCTGCCCGCACCTCATGAGACTGAGTGAGGACAACCACACCTGCTACGGTAATCATCTCCAGATTGATTCACAACCTGACAGAATCTGTGCTGTATGCAGTTTTACATCTGCAGACATGTGTTTTTTTGTTTTTTTGATGGGCTTCTTGATATAGTCCTACATGAATGAAAACTAGCAGTGATAATGTCAATTAAAACTAAAACTAATAAAAATTGTTTTTGTTCATTGAAATAATCAATCAACGTAAACTCAGCACACCTGAAACGACGATAGGTGCATGGGAACAAAATCAAACAAAAAGTTGAATCAAAAATAAGTAACGAACCCGTACACTATCAATACTTGCTAATTCTTAAACTTTATTAAACGCAACGTTTCGGTCCACTGACCTTCATCAGGCAAAAAATAAGAAATAAAAATTATTTTTTACCTGATGAAGGTCAGTGGACCGAAACGTTGCGTTTAATAAAGTTTAAGAATTAGCAAGTATTGATAGTGTGCGGGTTCGTTACTTATTTTTGGTTCATTGAAATAATGAAATAAAATATAACAAGTAGATGAAAAACTAATTAAAAATAGAAAAAAAATGAAATAAAATAAGTTTAATTTAAAGTACTAAATTACTCTGAAACTGAAATCAAATAAATAGAAGCTATAATAAACATAATAATAAAAAAGCTAAATAGAAATATAAAAAAACGAATAAAAATGTCAAAACCTCATAACAAAATTACTTAAAAAAACAAACTTCAATTAAAATGAAAACTGAAATTATAAATATAAAAGCTAATTCAAAAATAATGCAGAATAATAACAATGAAACTGTTAAGGATATAATTACTGTCTACGGAATAGGCTTACTGTCCACTGGATTTGTTTTTTCTTTAGCTGATCGATCGATACCTTTGCTTCGCTTCTTTGCAGCCTTACCTACTATTGATTACCGCAGAAAATAGATTTGTTTCTTAGTTTGTAAAAACAATATATATATATATATACAGTACAGTAATGCTCTTACAATAGAAATCTATGTGCAGAAGAATTGCACATACTGTCTAGTGTCTATGTGTTACGGGTGTGTAGGAACAAGGCAGAGAAAAAATCCACTTGCATACACAACTTTAATAACAACAGGCAAAAACACAGATAATCCAGACTGGGGAAACACAAAGGGCAAAACAAGACACTCCAGGCAACCCTGACCAAAAAATCAAGAACACCAGTAAAATCAACGACTCACAAAACATGACTGAAGCACAAGAGCTTAAATACACAGAGAAATCAGGGATACCAGGGATTCTAGACACAAATCAATCAGCCTTTCTTATAATAAATAGATTTATTTTCCCCAAAAGTTCAGATGTTTAGTTTGACATTAACAGTTAATGTATCTTCATATCCTGCTGACATTCAAATACATTGCCTTGGAGGAATCTCTTTTGTCTGGTTTGATTTGGCTCTTTTTTGGCTCCAGTCATGACGGGTGTCTCTGTGTCTCTTCCAGAGTCGCGTCAGTTCCTGCTGTACGCCCGTCAGATTGAGATAAGAGGAGTGGACATCTATAATCCGTACTACAACTACATCATCTCCTTCACTGTCCCTGACATCGACAACGTGACGGTTGTGGATTACGACGCTCTGGAGCAGCGCATCTATTGGTCAGATGTTCGGACTCAGACAATCAAGAGGGCCTTCATCAACGGCACAGGAATAGAGACGGTGGTGTCTGCAGGTATGACGCTCGTTCAGGCTGACTTCAGTTTGATTGGAATAAAAGCAGTTGCATATCTACAACAGAAAATAATTGACAGTAGTTTTATTTTACTGAGTTGGTTTAATATGATAATTACTCCATTCCTTTGCTAGTGGATTTGCTACCTGGGATGAATATTGTATTATTAGAAATGTACATTGCTGTTGATAAATTGGTAAATCTCCATCACCTGCGGGCTTTCACATGGAGTAAATAGAGAGGACATTGAATCGTGTTACTTTGATCATCACAAGAGGCTGTGCCACTTTTAAATTCTGAGTGAGAGCGTGTTCAGCAACAAGCTTTGTGTTGTCTGTTCCTTTGTGCTGGCCGTGAATGGCAGGCTTTTTGCACAATTTCATCTCTCTGCTTTTCAATATTCCAGAACCTGCTATCCAGTGATCCAGTATTCACTTATCAAGGCTTTTTGGCTGTACATGTATTTACATTTCTTTAAGAATTTGTAGGCTTTTTGTAATTCTTAAGACCTTATATCATGTAATTCTGATTAAGAGTTGGATCCAAACTAAATGGTTTTAATGCTTGAATTAGGGCTGCACGATAAATCGCATGCGATATTTAACGCACATCTTGTTAGTAAAGCCGGTTCTTTAATCAGCGGTAAAGAGCCGTTGTTCACTGACAAGCTGCGCAAAACCACGATCATATTTTGCGCATGTTTTGCGCAACTTGTCGGTGAACAACGGCTCTGTGTAGTTAATGCTGCTCCATGTGAAAGCCCGCACGTGATGGAGATTTACCGCTGATTACAGAATGGCTTTACTGACAAGATGCGCGTTAAATATCGCATGCGATTTATCGTGCAGCCCTAGTTCAGATTTACATTTTGCATAATCAGAAGTTTAATTTCTAATACACTACCGTCCAAAAGTTTGGGGTCACTACGTTTTTTTTATTTTTTTTTAAGAAATTAATGGTTTTATTCATCAAGGATGCATTAAATTGATCAAAAGTGACAGTAAAGACATATATGATGTCACAAACGATTTCTGTTTCAAATAAATGCTGTTCTTTTCAACTTTCTGTTCATCTGTGAATCCTGAAATGTGTCAAGGTTTCCACAAAAATATTATGCAGCACAATTGTTTTTAATATTGATAATAATCAGAAATGTGTCTTGAGCAGCAAATCAGCATATTAGAATGATTTCTGAAGGATCATGTGACACTGAAGACTGCAGTAATGATGCTGAAAATTCAGCTGCGCATCACAGAAATAAATTACATTTTAACACATATTCACATAAAAAATGCTATTTTAAATTGTGATAATATTTCACAATATTACCGTTTTTACTGTGTTTTTGAACAAATAAATACAGCCTTGGTGAGCAGAAGAGACTTCTTTCAAAAACTAAAGCAATCGTAGTATTGACTACTTGTTCAATTTCACAAGTTTATTTATTTTATTATTTGATTGTTATCACAATAAAAATGTAAATATGACCAGTTATGCTGTGAGATTAAAACATGATCGGCTTCATATAGACGGTAGCCAGTTCGTTCAATTGAGTGGAACACAGAAGGAAGATATTTTGTTGTTTTGGACCCCACTGATTTTTTTTTTTTAAATATCATCTTTTGACATGAGGGTAAATAAATGATGACAGAATTTAAATTTTTTGATGAACTGTCCCATTGAGTTGAATCCAATGATTCTATTCGGAGTTCACACAAGGCTTTAGAATATCAGGATGTTGTTGTTTAAATCTGATGTTATTGTGTGTATGAGGATCTCAGTCATTGTTTGCAGTGCAGAACTGCTGTCGTGTTTACAGTCGAGTGTGTTTTTAGAGAGTGCTGTTTAAGTAAAATTAGCACAGCCCTCAAAACCAAATTACAGACATGTTGGGTTATATGATGAAATGATGAGTCACACTTTACCATCAGTCTTTCTGTTCATCCAGCTGTTTATCCCTGTAGAAATGCACTGAATGTTTAGATTTGTTTTTTTCTCATCCGATTATGTTGATTCAAAGAATTAATATCTGGAAATGGTTATTTGGTGTGTCTTGCGTGTGATCAGATATTCCCAACACACATGGTCTGGCGGTGGACTGGGTGTCACGTAATCTCTTCTGGACCAGCTATGACGGCAATAAGAAACAGATCAACGTCGCCAGACTGGACGGCTCCTTCAAAAACGCTGTTATTCAGGGCCTGGACAAACCCCACTGCCTCGTGCTGCATCCCATACTGGGGTGAGTTCACTCATGCCACAAACACTTATGATATTTAGCCCAGAACACTAAAAAAGGAACACATCTGGCTTCCTAAAAGATGCAAAACAGGATGCAACCGCATGCACTCGTTTTCTCTTGTTTTACTGGAAGACATAATGACATAGAGTACACGCTTTAGGAAAGTTTCCATTTGATTTTTTTTTTTTTTGCATGAAAAGGAGAAAAATATATCTAATGTGTTGCAAAAAGATAAAAAGACAAAATTTCCAGTATTGTTTAAGAGGCTTTTCACACGAGTTTTTAAAATGTTTTTAAATGTCAAAGCTCTATGTGCACGGTATAAATGAACAAGAACATTTGTTTACTTAAATGGTACATTTAAAATGAATTGTTCACGGACTCTTTTTCAGAAGAAACTCAACTGCAGCACATTCACTTTGACACACTCAGCACATGCTGCTCAAATAATTAAATCATGATTTAATAATCGCACAAGGCCATATTGTGATTTCAGTTTTTCTCTGGTTAATTAAGTTGAATGTTTGATGATGGGATATAACCTGCTTAAAGGTGGGGTAAGCGATTTCTGGTAGCCAGTGTTGACATTTGAAATCACCAAAACAAACACGCCCCTACCCCAAAAGGGTCTCGCCCCTATTTTGATAGCTCCGCCCCACACATACGTACGCAACCCAGGCAACGATTAGTTCTGTGAAACAAAGCAAAACCAATGTTACACCGTGTCTACACCGGACGCGAGTGACGCGACAAAATACTATAGAACTCATTATAATCAGTGATGCTCTGAGTTTGAGATGTGACGGAGCATGTGATTTGTTGAATGTCAAGTCAAGTCAAGTCACCTTTATTTATATAGCGCTTTTAACAATACAGATTGTGTCAAAGCAACTGAACAGCATTAATTAGGAAAATAGTGTGTCAATAATGCAAAAATGACAATAGTAAACACTAATTTTTCAGTTAAAGGCAGTTCATCATTGAATTCAGTGATGTCATCATCCAGCTCAGTTCAGTTAAAATAGTAAGAAAACCTTGTGCTTTGGTCATCTGAACAACTTATTTAGACTTTATTTATTTAATGATTAGATTATGCACACATTTTAATAAAGCCAAATCAGTTTTTGTAGCAAGTGAATACGTTTTGACTCGAAGATCTAAGTGCCCTAGCAGGACAATATGGCACAAGAAGTTCAGAAATATAACTTGGTGCACAACCAGACAATGCCTTATAAACAAACAGAAGAATTTTAAAATCAACCCTGAATTTAACAGGAAGTTTGTTTTGCTAGTCGGCCTGAATCAGTTTTCTAAAGCGTTTTTAAAAAATCGCTTACCCCACCTTTAACATTCTTCTTTTGTTAACTGTTTCATGTCCAGGAAGCTGTACTGGACTGACGGAAATAACATCAGCATGGCCAACACTGACGGCACGAACCGTACCATGATCTTCATCAATCAGAAAGGACCAGTGGGTGAGTGACAGCTGAGACAGAAAAGACTGTCCTGTGGGTCATTTCCCTCTGGTGTTCATTGAGGCTCAAAAAGCTTATTACAGGATTGTACTGTGTGGTAGAGGTCTACACGGAGGACCCGAGGACCCGAGGACCCGGGACCCGACCCGGGATCCGTACGGGTTCGGGGCTATATTTTAAATGGTCAGCCGGGTCCGGGTCGGGTCCCAATCTATTACTTCGGGTCCCGGGTCTGTTTAACATTGTGTGTAATACCCGACT